TGCAATTCCGAGTTTCAACGCAATTGAAACCGAGCTGTAACCAGATCCCAAAAGTGCTGCACTTATCTTTTTCTTTCTTTCTTATGTTCCCTTTATGGGTTTTACTAGTTTTAATAAATAATTTGCAAGACGCTTTTACTGTTTCGCACTTGGAGGCGATGCCAACTTGTGGTAAAGTTTCCTGCACAGGAACTGTCAATCCCTTAATAAACTTACTGTAATGTATTCCTTGTCAAAAAGGCTACAATTCTTCATAGGTGGATGAGTACAGAAAATGGACGTCACACTCACGCATTATGCATATTTGACGAAACAAGTCTTTGGCGCTGTTGCATTTTTATGGCATTGTTTTGATCGCCTCTTCGATCATTATTTACCGTAGTTGATTCTACTTTTTACAGTTTCTTTCCAAACGGGGACTAGAAGAGTCCCGACATGGTGGTCCGCTGGGCCTTTTCTGTGGAGTTTTCGGTGGTCGAGCGCACACCTTCAGACCTCAGGAAGATATGGAGGATGTACTAATGGAAAGGGATGTGAGGGAGGTGCTTCAAGAAGGGCCACCAATGCTGATCGCAGACGAGCGCACGAGGACCGACTACTATCGCCAGTTTCACGATCTCAACAGGACTGATCCCAAAATTAAAAACATTCGCCAGACTGAACTGCTTGTCAATCTGAGACAGGCTATACTAGCGGTATGTGTCCAATGGTTCTGTGATTGTCTTCCATTTCTCCCTCCCCTTCATTTTGGGCTTTTGAATTTGCCTCAGATTGTACGTCACTTCCACAACAATGACCCTAGCCATGAGAAGGTGTCTGCTCAACCGGACTATTCTCTTGCAAGCCATGGAAGAGATCTCACAACCTACGTTCAAGTAAGCCCGAACTTATTATTCACATTTTCACACAGTGGCGATTAGAGCTTTAAAATGCCTTTTATAGTTGAATTGGCAATTTGCCGATACATCCTTTTACCTCCTTACCACGAGTGGAGTATGAAAAGCTGCGACACAAATCCTCTTCGCGACTCCTTTTTATTGCTCAGCCAAAAGCATTCTTACTGAACTCTGAAACTGTGCAAACGTATTTGATTAGATGGCTGCAGTTCAAAGTCGAAGAGCCAAGGCACTAGAGGACTTTGCTCGTCAGGAAAAGGATGAGCTGGGATTCCTGCGGCATGACATTATTACAGTTGTCGACATGCACGATGAGCATTGCTGGTTGGGCGAGATGAATGGCCTGAGAGGGTGGTTTCCTGCCAAACTCGTGGAACTGCTTGATGAGCGCTCAAAACGCTACTCGCCTGCTGGTGACGACTCTGTCTACCCCGGTGTTGGCAACTTAGTTAGGCGTGGGTAGGTCTGATTCCTGAGGTCACAAAGATATGCGCGAATTCTCGGCTTCAGGGCAACTTTTTTTGCAGTGAAGCGTACATTTTGGATTCGAAAATGTCAACAATTTGCACAGTCGAAACTAATAATACCTGCTTTAGACTATGCTCCACACTGGGTGCGATATTTGAATATGGACTGAAAAAAATCCGTGGACTGACAGACCAAAGATCGAGCCCTTGGAAGTTTATAGAAGAGGTTGCAACGTGGGAGGCCGAACGCGACTCCTCTTCCATCCACTCGCGTCTCGTGTTGTGTCGAACCTTCCGGCTAGACGAGGTGGGCAAAGTGTTGAGTCCCGAAGAGCTACTCTATCGAGTAAGGCATCCTCCATCTTTCATGCCTGTAAAACCATATTTTACTCATTCGACTGTCACATGCTTTCCATTGCAGTCCATTCAAAACATCAACGCCTCGCATTCTTCACCGAACACTTCAGATGATGTCAAGTTTCGTACTCTGATTTGCATCGGCCTAAAGTATGATCCTCCTCATCACTATCTGCTGTTAAAGTGGCAAGGTAGTTAAACCTGTGATTTGCATTTGCAGTGAATTGGTACTTCACCTGTGGCTGGAAATTCTCTGTTCGTGTGATGAAGTAGTTACAAAGTGGTATCATCCGTGGTCCTTCCTGCGGAGTCCAGGATGGGTACAAATCAAGTGTGAGCTGAGGTGTGCTTTTGCATTCATCGAACTGACACAATTGTACTTTTATCGGTTTAGTAAGATCATTCTAGACGTTCTATGGGAACAAAGAGTTTTCTCCAAACTGAAAGGTTAAACTGTAAATTAGCTTTAAGAGACCTGTTTTGCCTCAGTAACTCGCTGTGCGTGTTATCAATGATCCCTGCTGTAACTAAAGAGTTCTCAGCCAGTTCGCCTTCCATTTGAACCCGTTGGCGGAGGTGAGTGGGGAAGTGTGCCAGAAGCACGAATGCACCAGCGGTGGGACAGGGGCGGAAGTGCGACGACTCTTTCGTGCCGCCAAGAAGCCACTTCGCTTGCTCTCGCGATTAAGTCTGGGGGGCCTGAGACCGCTGAGGGACTATCAGCGTCTGGAACAAGACTTCGGTGCCTTTCGATACGATTTTGAGTCTACTGGTGACATGCTTGTGAAGTACCACCTCTTCAGTTGGGAACTCTGACGTGGATTGTAATGAGCCTGATCTGCTCATTGCGTTCGCGCTGGATGACTGTGATCCATCTTTTATTTATCTTTGTTTTGTACGTGTACGCTCTTATCTTGTCCATCAGTTATTGTTTTGTTGTGATCTGTGATACCACCTTCGCTTTTATCTTAAGACGTCTTATTTTTTAAGATTATGTCTTGAAGTACATCCAATCTACCATCAAAGTGGAAGCTGTTGCATTGCTTCGACCCTGCTACGGCTCCTAATTCTACCCCTTTAAGGCAGAAATTGAAGTTTTCATATTCCAACGGACCAACGCATGGTTGAATGGCGATGCGAGTATTGATGCAGCAGAGGGGACGTATTTAACGTATGAAGATGAGTTGTGGCTGCCAGCATAACTGACAAGCAAAGGTGTGCCCATAAACAAGACAGGTGTTGTCTGACTGGTATGGTTTTGCATCCAATGCATTCAAATTTTCGTCCAAAATGAACGAATTGATTACAAGTGTAGGGTTTCCAGACTTTCTATCGGGTTGAAGAAGGCATTAAGTAGAGCTAGATACTTGTATTCTAGAGACAGGAAATTTATCAAGATTGAGCTCAATCCAAAGGTCGCACCACGTGTACAAGGGTCAGACAAATGCCAAATTGACCGCTAAACATCAGGTGGGCACATCAGCAGAGTATCACTCTGCCCCCCTCCTTTCGAACGGCATCCTCGCCACTACCTTTGGTACACCTCCCTCACCAGCCATCACAACCTACTCGGTACTGCAAGAAACCACCCACGAGTCAGTCGTGGTACTCGTAGGCTACTATGGGACCAATAGCAACAGCACTTGG